TTTTTAAATTAATTTTAAAAGAAATATACAAATTATTTGTTAATTTTTAATGCAATATTAAATCTAATATATATATATATATACACTAATTACTTTTCAAAAATTAAATTCTGCAAGTAGTGTGTACGATATTCATATCATCGTATAAAATAATATAATAACGATAATAATGAACAATATCATGATGAATCGCGTCTTAAGTCGATATGTTGATTATGTCAGTAATATTCTGCACTCTTACTATCGATATATGATAGTCGCTGTTGCAATGCTTTGCATATTCAACCGAATTAAATTGATTGATCTTGAATTGACGCAAATTCTATGTTACGCTTGACCTAATTTTGCATGATTAACGCAATATTCTTGTATCTAAAATTTTTGTTGGATTCAGTAATCTATTACTATCACAGTAACAAAGGTAGGTCTGTGTAATGTATACATATATTATATTACGGATCGTCTTCGAAGAGTCACGTTTCTTATGCCTTACGAAGGCATTTAATATCACGATTCACTTTCTCACGATTGCACAAATGATCTATTGTAGACATTTTCTGCACTATAATAACATCGTAAAAAGGTTTCTAATATAAATAAGAAGAGAATGAAACTGTTTTATGTATAATCAATTCTAAACATGCTTTAGTTTTTTCACGTGAAATATAAACAGTTGCAATCATTAAGTTATCATGATTCCACAATGAAGTCATAAATTTACTTTTTTGTAATCTTTATTTAAGTATTCACGATTTTAAATTTAGATAAAAGAGAAGATTGCCATACGTTGCACATAAATTGGTCAAATAATGGTTTTTATGTTACTGTGATGATAGTGTAAAATTAATTCAAAATTTAAAATGTAAAAATTTAAACTTAACGCATAAAGATTATTATTTTCCTCATAACTCTCTATGCAATATTATGCTAAATTAGCATAAAAATTATAAATGAGTAAAGATATTTATTTGTATTTCCAAAAATGCTGAAAATGAAATGTCGAAATGTTATATGACTCATTGCCAGAGAAATCGTATGAGCATAATTGTATTTTAACAAACTTTAAACAAAAAAGTGAACGGAAACCGATAATGATCGCAACGTTAATTAGTAATTATGATTCTGAACACTGATTTAATTTAAACAGTATTTCGTAGCAGTTTCCTTTTCTCGAGCCGATAATGTCTTTGCGAGACTGGGAGTTTGTGCTGATACCTAACCCATTAATCTAGTGCAAATAATCCTTAATGCATCCTTAATAATTAGCCACGCAAGGGAAATGTTGACACACACTCGGCATTATTGCTCTGCGTCTCTCCCGTTCTAACGTTTTTTCCTTTTAATTGCATTCCCGCATTTTGCGATTCTTTCGCAACAACTCAAATGTCATGTAGTACTTGAACCTGATCTTAATTAGCGTGAAAATTAGAGCAACATGGCAGCGAAATGAAAGTAGCAACTTGATTAGGAATTTCTTCTTTTAAGATGCACGCAACGTGCGATTTTCACTCTAGAAAGTTTGCTAACGTGTACTAGGGATGCGCCAATTTAAGTATTTGTTTGCTTGAACTGTGAGCAGTTAGTGCCGCTTTTACCAAACGCCCGCCTATCATTAATCAGAATGAGCCTAAGAAAAATTTTCATCCGTTCTTAATGAGTTCCACGATTCGAATTCTGACGTAATTTAGGTTGGTGCAATCATCAGCGCAGCCACGTGGCATTCCGGACTCCTGGGGTATCGCGTTTATTTCGCTTTGAAAATCTATAACTCTTTTCCGAATACTACTGTACGATACAGATCAATGATGATGCCGCGATGAATATATCTAAGTCAAACACAGCTCATGCCGCCGTCGATCATCGACCCGGAAGAATTTTGTAACATTTCCAAACCGAATCTATTCCACGATTCATTAAATATTCACGAGGCCTTGCGGCACGCGATAATATCACTTTCTTATGTGTCTAGCTCGATATTTTCTACTATGATTGCTTGCAGACGCTTCTAAACGTGCGATATCTTTATGCAGATAAATTGATCGCTTTCACGCGTAGGTGCGATTGATGATTGCCAATACTTTGTGCAAAAGAGACATGTGCGATTTGCGACGAGTTCATTGATCAATTTGTCTCAATGCCGCTTAAGGCGTGAATCGATAATAACGCATTAGATCACAGAGCGATCTGATAACTGATATGATTTATATAATCACTCGATGATTAATAAATATATTTATCAATAATAAATTAGAGTCGTCACGAATAATCTGTATGGTGTCAAGAGATTATAAAGTAAAATGATTTGGAAAGTAAAGTGTGATCTCCTAAGGATTGTCATCTGGATTTATCTGACAATTAAAAGATATTCTTGCTAAAAATGCAGATTGCGCGCGGCAATATGCCACAGGCAAGTTGTAAATGGCCGAAGTAATACATTATAGGCATTATAGATAGTAATTTGTACATGCAATCATTCAATCGCATCGACACGGTTGCCTGTTAGTGTTTTAAAATATATTACGCAAAAGGTTTACGTCGAATAGCTTATTTGCGTATTTTGATGCGATTGATAAACGGCAACTTTTTACGAATTACATCGATATTTGATAGAAATATAAACGTACGCGAGAGATAACATTGCGCGATAGTGTGAATCTTTATGCAGGTGTACATGCGACCGAAGTTTATTAGATGCAAAATACAGATTTAAATCCTATGCACAAAATATTCCTTTCCTTCGTTCGTGTTTAAAACACGTTGGAACTCGGTTTAATTAGCTAATCAATTATCTGGATTTTTCACGCTATTTTGCACTTGCTGTGCCCAGACACTTGTGCCATCGAACCAAGCACTGCGTTATTAATTATCTTGACGAGAAACTCGCACGATTTCGCGGTTACTGCAGCTCGTTTACCAACGTTTACTGCCATCAGAGAAAGAACCGATGATGCATACACGGAATTGTGAGTAGACTTACGCGAGGCGGTTGATGAAATCGCGGAACATTCTAAATTGCGCACATCTTGCGAGCACGCATCTTATTATATGTAGT